CCCCCCCCGTTTTTAAAATGTTATTTATTTAGAGAACACAGCAGGGGAGGGGCATAGTGAGAGGAACAATCCCAAGCAGGATCTGCACTGTCAGCTCAGAGCCTGAGGTGGAGCTTGAACCCACAAACTATGAGATCATGACCTAAGGCGAAATTAAGGGTCGGCCGCTTAGCCGACTGAGCCACCCAGGTGCCCAGAATTTTCCCCTTTTTAATTTGGTTGTTTTGTTTTCATCTACATACTCAAAGGATTCCCTTTAGAGTTTGATAATTTTGTGAACGTATATTGGTATTAGTTATTCTTAGTATTTTCAGGTATGTGATACGCTCTTTCAATATAGGAAGTTTCAAATCTTTTTTTTTTCTTTTTCAAATCTTTTTATTTCAGAAAATTTTCTAAGTTATTTTTATTTGCAAAGACTTTAGTATGGTTTCCTTGAATTTCTCTTTTATCAAGATTTCTTATCTAAGTATTAGAGGGGTGCTTGGGTGGCTCAGTCCAACTTTGGCTCAGGTCATGATCTTGTGGTTCCTGAGTTCAAGCCCTGTATTGGGCTCTCTTATGGCTCAGAGCCTGGAGTCTGTTTGAGATTCTGTCTCCCTCTCTCTCTCTGCCCCTCCCACACTCTCACGCTGTCTCTCTCTCTCTCTCTCTCTCTCTCTGTCTCTCAAAAACAAACATTAAAAACTTGATTAGATTTTCACCTTTTATTTATTTTGTCGTGAGTTGTTTTTAATCTATTCCTTCATTTCTTTTTTTTAAACAGCTTTATTGAGATAGGATTCATATACCATCCAATTCACTTCAGTGTATAGTTCAGTGTACATTGTTAACTTTTAAAGTTGTGGTAAAATATATAACGAAATCTACCGCTTTAACTCCTTTAAAGTGTATAATTCAGTGGCATTATGTTCAGTATTGTGCAACCATCACCACTCTCTATTTTCAAAACTTTTTTATCATCCCACAAAAACTACAACCGTTAAACACTCTCCATTCCCCCTTCTCTTAACCTCTAATAATCTCTAATCTCCCCTCTGTTTATGAATATGCATATCTACGTGCCTCGTATATGTAAGTGCAGGCATAGAATACTTCTCCTTTTGTGTCTGGCTTTCACCCGGCATAAAAGCCTTCGGGGTTCATTCATGTTGTAGCATGTGTCCGTGCTTCATTCCTTTTTGTGACTGAATAATGTTCCTTTGTATGTATGTGCCACATTTTAGTTTTGATTTGCAAAATTTGTGGAGAGGCCAACTGTAAACGAAGACCAGGTTGAAGATGTAACTGCATAAAAGAGGCCATATATGATGCTGTCATAAATAAGCTATGTAGAACAGGTATCCTTAAATAACTTCTACAATGGATCAGATACTAAATATTTCAGGTTTTGTAGGCCATAGATGGTTTCCACTGACTATTCTTTTTTGTTTTTGTTTTTGTTTTTCCCTTCCTTTCTTCCTTCCTTCTTTCCTATTAAACTGTTCTTGTTTTGTTTTGATTTTTTTTATGTTTATTTTTGAGACAGAGCACGAGCAGGGGAGGGACAGAGAGAGAGGGAGACACAGAATCTGAAGCAGTCTCCAGGCTTTGAGCTGTCAGCAGAGCCCGATGTGGGGCTCAAACTCACGAGCTGTGAGATCATGATCTGAGCTGAAGTCGGACACTTAACTGACTGAGCCATGCAGGCATCGCTTTCCTTAAAGTGTTCTTAAGCTTAGGAGCCTCAGGCCTGATTTGGTCACAGTCCTGATTTACTGGCCCTTGATCCAAGAGCAAAGCTCTCAAACTGAATCTGGCTCCTAGTTAATTTGTTTTTTGAAAATCTTACTGAGATATTTGTCGATTCACATGAGGTTATGAGAAATGATACAGAGAAATTGTACACCAGTTTTCACCAACAGTAACATTTGATAAAACTACAGCATCATAATATCAAAACCAGTATTACATCACAATTACTGATCGAATTCAACAGATTTTATTATTCTCCCTTAGATGGGATTTTTATTGATGCGGGCTAGGGTATTGGCTATTCTTTATTTGTTCCAAACTATGGCCAGAATGTGCACGCTGGTCGGTTTTGAGGAAAGTGCTGATCCTCGTCTCCCTTTGAGTGGAAGGGCGTGGTAACGCTGGTCCTTTGTTACTTCCTGCACGGTAGAGGGCCATTGGATGTGAGGAGACGCAGCCTTAGAAGGGGCAATCCTTCCAGGAAGGTGCAGGTGTTGTTTGTCTTTGACACTCTACAGAAACAAGCACGTGTGCTTTACAGTGTTTAATGTGTGCTAACATTAGGAAAACCATGTCAAAATCACTTTTATTTCCACTGTAACGTGATGATTTATTTTGTAATTGTAATGAACTAATTTGACACTGTAAAGATAGATTACACTGTTAAATGCTTTAAACACTGTCCTCCAAGCATAATTATTATATGGAGTTTCACATCAACTGATAAAAGATCAGAAAATGTAATTTTTACCTTAGCTATTGTTTTATAGACTTTGTAAATGTATAAACAATGTTTCAAGATCATACAAATGATCTTTAATATCTATGAGAGATAAGTAAAATATTAAGTGTTTTTCTTTTATCAGTGTAAGAATTAATGTAAAGTTAGTAGCTCAGAGAACAGTTTGTTTTGTAGAGGGGCTGAGAACGTATCTTTACTTTGAAACTTCTTTTTTTCCTTCAGTTTTGCTCCAGAGATTATTGCTTACAAATTGTTCACCATTCTTTAAAGGAGATGTTAATTTTCCGGTCTTAATTTTCCTTGAGTTTAATGGGCTTTTTCCTTCCTCTTAGTATTTCTGCCATAACTCCCAACTTTTTAAAAAAAATTAAAAATATGTGTAAGTTCCATCATTTGTCTGATACATCCACGTCTTCCCTTTTTACCTATGTATATTTATTATTTGCTCAACATTTTGGCTTTTTTATATCGTAGCTTTACTGTTTACAGATCATGTGATGTCTTAACTTCACCCTACAGCAACCGTAGGGATAGACAGCCCTGATGGATGGATTATAGATGGGTGCAGGGAACTGTGGGTGATCAAAATCATTATCTTAGAGGTTATGGTTCATTGTAACTTCAAGGAGAGTAACTTGTTTGTTTTTTTTTACACATTTTATTATGAAAATTTCTAAACATAGAATAGAGGTAAGGCGCCTAGGTGGGTCAGTCAGTTGAATGTCTGACTCTTGATTTCAGTTCAGATCATGATCTCACAGTTTGTGAGTTGGAGTCCTGCGTTGTGCTCTCGTGCTGACAACCTGGAGCCTGTTTGGGATTCTCCCTGCCCTGCCCCTTCTCTGTTCTTCCCTGCACACGGTCTCCCTTTCTCCCTCTCTCTCTCAAAATAAATGAAAGAAGAAATGGGAGGTGCATGGGTGGCCCAGTTGGTTAAGTGTCCAGTTTCGACTCAGATCATGATCTCACCCTTTATGACTTTGAGCCCCGCATCAGGCTCTCTGCTGTCCCTCTCGCTCTACCCCTCCCCCATTCACACTTGCTCTCTCAAAAATAATAAACACTTAAAGAACAATAGAGTAGAGGTAAAAGGATTTTCCTCTGAAGACCCTTTCTACCCCCTCCCTAATCTCCTATCTCCTGGATCTCTGAGGCAAGAACATAGCCTAGAACAAGCGAAATTGTCTCCACTGGACATTTATGCTTTAAAACTTATTCTAAACAATCTCCTAAGGAGTGTCTTGGCCCTCAACCTATGTTTTGAGTGTACCTAAGAATTCAGGTTCAGTCTTCATTCTGGTGAGACCTTGTAAAAACTCAGGTAGATGAGCAGCTGCTGTCCTTTTCCACAGTTACAGGTTCATGTGCCTACTTGGTGTTACAGTCTTTCAAAGGATTGCATTTGCTAATGTGATGGTACAAAAAAGTGTATCTTAAGGTATGCAGTACAGATCTTTATACTTTCTCACTTTTTTTTAAATAGATAAGGAACAACAAGAAAACTGCCATCTTGGTTAAAGAAGTGAACCCAAAAAAGAAGCTTTTCTTAGTTTATAGACCAAATACTGGAAAACAGCTCAAATTAGAAATTTATGCTGATCTAAAAAAGAAATATAAGAAGGTATTTTTTCATTTGTATTATACTATTTATGAATACTTGTTTTATAATAATATATTGAAACTGTTTAGGAGTGCTTTATGTCTGTATATAAAATTATGTTGTGAATTTTCCCTATTTGATTACAGGGAAATTATTTTTAGGAAACATTTTGTCACATTTTGTTACATTAACATACCAGTCTTAATGTTATCAACCATTTAAGAAACTTGTAAGATGATTATTTGAAAGAGCTTGTGTTGTAGAAAAAGAAACTTCCAGCGTTAACTCAAAAAAATAGAACCGTTAAAAATATTTGTTTTACAACGATTTGTAGAAAAGTGGTGAATGACTACTTTTTTTCTAGCATTACTATTATTTATTCTTAGTATTACCTTGTATTACTATTCTTCCTAGCCAGTTTCAACAATTAACATTAAACTAGCTATTGGAAACATTTGTTACATAGGAAGAGCCTAATGGCAGGATTTTATGAAGGGCGCTCAAATGCAGCTAGTAACGGGCCAGATTTTCTGTATAGAGAGGATTGTAAATTGGCTTTAGAGAACATAGGAAGGCAACCAGCTTGTTTAAAACAATCCTGTTTCAATGGAATTTTTGTCTTATTTTCACAGGTAGTCTCAGATGATGCCCTGATCCACTGGTTAGATCAGTATAATTCATCTGCAGACACTTGTACTCATGCTTATTGGTTAGTATTTCATGTTTCTCACCGTATTTTCCAAAATGTAATCAAGACTTAATTGAAACACACGTTTGCTCTTTAGTTGTCTGTCTCTCGAAGTCCGTGAACAGATTATCTGATGTTAGGTGTCATTCTTCAGTTAGAATTGCTTGTATGTCTGTGGACCACACGCTGTTCAGGTGTCCCCTGTGTTCTTCACCAGTGCTTTGTTACTTCCGGCCAGCTGCAGTCTGGCAGTATGGACTTGTCTATCCTCCTTGTTAAAGCTGACTTTTTCTCCCTCTCCTCTCCTTCCTTCCCTTCATTTATTTGTTTGTTTATTTATTTCTCTCTTTAAAAAAAAAAAAAAAAGGTACTGGCATCCCAAATCACTTTTCATTTTTAAGGCTAGGAAACTTCTAGGAAATTAGAGTTGCTGACAGCACCAGAAGACTGTTGTTGAGCCCTGGAAGTGGTCCTACTGTGCCACTAGGCTGGCTGGAGGTGTGTTCTTTCAAGTCACTGTGTCATCCCCTAACTTACAGTGTCCACTTCAGCTGAGGCCGTAGGTGTGGAGGGCACGTAATACCCTGCACATTATGGTTCCCCTATTTCCTTACCCACTGTTTCCTCACCCATTAAGTAGACAATGGGGTATCTGGCCCATTTTATGAAAAGGAATACAGGACATGGATGAATTTTAGCTAGTTTATTTTTCTTTTAAGACATGTAGGAAGATAAATTTGATATGAGCAATGTTTTTTGTTTTCATTTTGAGAGCAAATTAGTGTTTTGGAAATTGGGAAAATCTTTCAAGATAAAATATTTAAAAAAAAAATTTTTTTTTCAACGTTTATTTATTTTTGGGACAGAGAGAGACAGAGCATGAACGGGGGAGGGGCAGAGAGAGAGGGAGACACAGAATCGGAAACAGGCTCCAGGCTCTGAGCCATCAGCCCAGAGCCCGATGCGGGGCTCGAACTCACGGACCGCGAGATCGTGACCTGGCTGAAGTCGGACGCTTAACCGACTGTGCCACCCAGGCGCCCCAAGATAAAATATTTTTAAAGTTAACTTACAGTAGTCCTCTCTAAAACATTTGCTTTGAGCATTAGCAAGACAAGTGCCCAATACTACTGTGTATCCTCTTGAATTACTATTAAAAATATAATTTTATTGAGGAATTATATAAATTTATAAGTTTAAAAATTTTATAAATTGTATAATTTTATAAACCATGTCTTCTTTTTCTTACAGTTTAAAAAAAATTTAATAGTTCCATTCTTTTGGTTTGCTGAGGCCTTTCTCAGTGACATGATTTATAATATATTGGTTGTTCAATACTTTAGAAGTAACTGGCAGAATTATTTTATAAGCTAGCGTCAATATAGTAAACTAACAGATGTTAAAGTGACAGATGTTTACTGGAGGGGTTGTGGGTGGGGGGATGGGCTAAATGGGCAAGGGCCATTAAGGAAGACACTTGTTAGGATGAGCACTGGATGTTACACATAGGGGATGAATCACTGGAATCTCCTGAAATTATTATTGCGGTATATGCTCACTAACTTGGATGTAAATGAAAAAAATTTTTCAAAAGACAAATGTTTAAATGGATATCAAACCCAGTAAATAAACCCTTTTAACTGGGAGTCAGGCCCCAGAAATCTTATTTTCTAAAACAAATTTTAGAAACTTAACAAACCAGTAATGACACCTTACATTGGACAGGATAATCCAATATGTCAATAAGAGCGTAATCAAAGAAACTGTCAATAAAGAAAGGCAAATTGGACTAGGACATCTTCCATTTGAAACCTAGGTAGACTTTGCTAGCTGTTCACGTGCGTGTATGTGTATACGTATATGTTTTCCCCTATTTTTCCTAGGCGTGGCAACTGTAAAAAGGCAAGCTTGGGATTAGTTTGTGAAATAGGTCTTCGTTGCCGCACATACTACGTATTATGTGGCTCCGTACTGAGTGTCTGGACAAAGGTTGAGGGTGTTCTAGCATCTGTCAGTGGCACAAATGTGAAAATGCAGATTGTTCGACTGAGAACAGAGGATGGACAACGGATTGTAGGTGAGTCTAATTTTGGGGGGTTTGAGCTATCCGGAAAAATCAGATCCTATTCTTTTTTTATTTTGCTTCTAACGTTTTAGAATCAGTATCTCTTCCAGTAATGGGGGAGAGCTTGTTTTATATGCTCTTAAAAGGTTGAACGGAAGTTAAACCTTTGAATGGGCATTGTTGATTCTAGCTGAAGTTACAATGTCATTTATTTTAGGCCGCTCTCAGCTGTTCTTGCTCCCCTTCCTCACTGTCGCTGTCTGTGCAGGCTGTGGTATAAAGACCGAGCCCAGCCTCTTGCCCAGGATCCTCTGAAGTCTACCCATTTCCAGTCATTGAGCCAAATTGAGACTGGAACTACAGTCACTGCACAGAGGAGGGACTGGAGTTTTAGCAGAGAGCACGGGCAGACCGGGCAGCTGTTCCCACCATCCTCTAAATGGCAGGCCTCGCAGGAATTCATCGTTACTGCACTTTGGCCTGTGGTTTCGTGTTTGTTGCATTTCCGACGACCTTCCTTTTTATTGTGGGCTGCAGGTTGGCAGCCCATGGGCCAGAGTCAGTCCATGACCTTTTTTTATTTTTTTTTGACCCTCTTGATAGTTTTGGTTTTTGCGAGTCTGCATTTGAATTAGTTGGCCAACATTTAAAAATCAAAAGCCTGGGTTTTGTTTTCTCAAAAACCACATGCATGCACGCGCACACACGTGCACACACACACAGTTTATGTGGAACATCTAGCCCCTGTTCCCACATAGGAGGAGTTAAAGTTCCTTTACCGAGGGCGTATACTTTCCACAGTTTGCTAACGCCTGTAGCGTGCCCACTTGGAAATTACCTGCTTCACTAAGCAGTTGAATTCACATCCACTATTCTGTAGCCTTGTTGGTCCATTAATACCTGCCCAAAGAAGGTCGTGTTCGCCTGCATTTGTGGAGCTGCAAAGACAGTAGATAGACACTATAGTCCATTTTCCAATCCTCCACCGAGAAGTCAGTGTTACTGTGGACTTTGCATATGCTTAGGTCTCTGCGAGTAATGCTGCTGAGGAATTGGGTTACTTCTGAGGGGGCAGTTTCAGTTCTCAAGTATTCGTTTAGTGTTTGGGTGGAGTCTTATTTGTTACACTTAATGTTATGCTTCATTTGGAATGTGCTGTGCAGCTGTAAAACAGTATGATTTCTCTTGGATATAGCCTTGATAAGTTCTTGTTTCTAATTGCAGGTTTGATCATTCCTGCAAATTGTGTGTCTCCTCTTGTAAATCTCCTGTCAACTTCAGACCAGTCTCAACAGCTTGCGGTCCAACAGAAACAGCTCTGGCAGCAGCGTCACCCGCAGAGCATCGCCAACTTGAGCAACGCTTAAGAACAGACAGGTTTCAACATGGATGTATCTGAAATGCTGTTGAAGCATATCATTTGCATAAAAATCAGGGACAGTTTCCAAAGAATTATAATTTTTTTCAGTTGTGCTCTCTCTAGTTAATTTTTTTGGGAATAAGGACAAACCTGGAATAGATAGCAAAACTGAAAATCAGCAGTGCCGATGGTGGTACATATGTCTTTCCTTTGCTTTTCCCATGGTACTTCCCATATGCTTTTACTTTGGGTGAGCAGAGGGGTATGTATGCGTGCGTGTGTCTGTTTGTTTGTGAGTTTGTTAAAGGCTACAAACCACAATTGGTTTAAAAATGCTTGGAACTTCCCAAACTGGCTTTACTTTTATGTTACACAGTGCTCAGGGTTAACGCAGTACATCCATGCAATTGCTGTGGGACTTATCCCCAGATGCATGTGTTTTGAGTCTATAAATATAGAAAATATATATTGGTTTCTTTTTCCAACTTATTAAACAATAGGTTTATTAAAGCATGAAATGAAAGGTTGCATATCATGCATTCGGGTTCTTTTTTAGTTTTTGTTCTGACAGTGCATGTCTTTGAAAGCATGCGTAAACAAGATGAAAACAAGTCAAGTAACGGAGAGAAACATTTGTAGATGTACAGCATTGGTTATTGCATTTTTATAGTGTTTATACCTGGGTATTGCTTCTCACCCCGCGGATTCCCCTCACCCTCTTCTCCCTGCCCCAGGTTTCTTGTCAAGGTAATGAGTATATACATTTTTTTGGTGGTAAAACTCTGAAAGTTAATTTTAATGTATTAATAGTATTCCTAATGTGTGCTGCAAAAATGGCTACAAGCCTGCTTTTCTTAAAACTACATTTTCCTTAACTTAAAGATCGTTTTAGAAAGAAGTACAAATCGGCTTCCATCTTGCAAACAATCTTTTTTTACTCCATTATCTTAATTTGTCACTCATAAAAAAGGAAACCGTACTTGAGCTGTAAACTAGACAATGAGGAAACACTTGAGGCTTCTGCTGTATGTTTATTTCTTGTTGTTATTGTTGTTACCCAGTAACTTGAATATCGTTTAATGTGTTGTAAGACATTGTAGAGTTTATCTCAAGCTGTTAAAAATGGTAATGTACAAATGTGAATAGACACTTATCTATAATATGGGTAAGTTTTGTTTCGCCTATAATAGATGTTTATGAAACAAGTGAGGGGACAATTGGGTTTTTTTGTTTCCTTTTGTTTTCCTTTCCCTTTGTTTTGCCTGCACAGGTTGCACTATTGAAAAATTGAGATTGTATAAACCTGGTCAAAAGCTGCAAGATACCACAGTCTTGTAGATGTCAAATAAAAAGTTGTTCTACTAACCAGAAGTGGACTCTTGCTTAGGCCCTCACCACCTTCAGAGGCAGAGTCTGTGACGGGGATTCTGCAGAACTGGCGTGTTACGCGGCACTCCAGGCAGCCTTTTTGGGCTTAAAACCTACCCCTCAAAACCGAGATGGTGTCGAGAAAGGGGTGTAGCGATAGTCGTTTTGAATGTTTCTCAAGTTGAATTGTTCTCCTTTGTCACTTTTGAAACTTCTTGCAGAATCAGGCAAGATGTCTGTTCGGTGATGGCTAGGGCTTTCATCTTCCTGTGTTTCTTTAAGGCCGAGTTTGCTTACGTCAAGTTTACCGTACGTTTCCTTTGGATTTATTTATTCTTGATACGTGAAAGAACACATCGAGAATCATTTCTGTTCTTTGGCATGTGTTGCCAAGTGGATGCAACTTTTATCCTCAGTCTAGGCTTTCTATCTCAGGCAGTGATCCGTGTGAATATCAACCAGTGTTCTTTGTCAGGGCCGCTGGACCCAGCTGGCAGCCAAGGGCAGACCGTCCCACCTGCAGCAGAACTTCCCAGTTAGTTCCTCTGTTTTAATCCGGTAGCCCGCTCGGCATCCATCCGCGCACTAACGTGAAGTAGAGTTGGGGACGGGGACCGAACCCTGACAAGCCTGCTCCCTCCGGGGAGACGAATGTGGTCAGTTGACCCCCACGATTCCTGATGTGGTGTTGGCTCTTTGAATAGCTGTCTTGATACAAAAGGGCATAGGCGTGTTCTGTTCTTGGAGGAGCAGCATTGTTTCGCTTTTAAAAATAAGGTCCAGAAATAAGGCCTCTGAAAAGTCTGAAAGGAGACCTCAGAAAGGCAACTGGTGTAAGGGGGGTGGGCGCTGAGGTGCCACACGCCTGTGCTCCTCCCATCAGGACACCATGAGTCCGCTGCTCACCCCCTCTCTGGAGGTTGAACGTACGACCTTCACACTGTGCCCTCATCCTCATCTAAGCCAGCACGTTCAGGTTGGCCAGCATTCAGGGTCCCCCTCTGTTAAAAACCCAAGTCTTAACAACAGCTGACTTCTGTAAAACGGCTCCGTGTGTTTCAGGATCTGAATGCCACGTCTGACCCCAGGGCCTTGCTGAACCTGATGCGAGTCCATTTGGCCCCTGCAATGCCTTTCCTCCCTCCCTTTTTAGCAATATGGCTCTGAGCACAAAGATTTGATTGTAAATCATGTTAGCGTTTTCAGAGTTTACAGTGTCGATTGTGCTGAAAACCACTCACTTCCTGAGTCCAGAGCCGCTCAGATGGTATCTTGGGGGGAATTAGTGTTCCCCTAATCTAGCAACCTCCACACCACAAGGTCTTTATCTGCAGTTTAGTGAGATTACCCAGATAGGGATCAATGATGTGTAAAGTCCTACAAGTATTAACAAAGTATGTCTTTAAACACAACTTGATCAAAAAGTAAATATCCTAAGCAATTTTCCCTTTTTGCTGCTATGTTGCAGATACAGTCTTCAATACCTTTTCTTTACATCTGTATATAAGTTAGCAAGAACTTGCATCCAAAGCAATGTAGTAGTGTGTGTTTGTGTACATATATTTGTTCCAGTCCAGTTAATTAGCACTTGAGACTTTTTTTTGAGCTGCAACAATAACCCTTTTCATTTTAGTGTGCTTTATCTGTGAAGATAAAAGTTCTAGATTACCAAGTTCCAGGGGAATATAACATTTCAGAGGCGCGATTTTGTGCCTGTGGTCTCTGGGGCATTCTTCTGCTAGCCTCCGTGTGATGCTATTAGAACTTCTAACAGGCATGACCAGCACAGCACTTAACAGTTGTGTGACGGGAACCCTTGCCCCTCCCCCTTCGACTTCCCAGTTAGCATGAGGGCAAAAAGCGGCAGATTACAAATGATTGGTGCATCGCAATTCATGAAAGAGAGACGAAAAGTATTTTCCCTTTCAGTCCTGTTCTTGGTAAGATGTTAAGAGGAAGGTCCCTATCTAAATACTCTTATTTTAAAAACGTTACCTGGGTGATATTTGATAGCTTCTAAGAATGGTGCTACGTAAGAGTCGCCGTTAGGCCGGGATCCAGTTAGCCAGATGTCTGGTTAGTTCAGGCATCCCAGTGGCAAAGGCAACCGCTGTGACGATGGGCGTTTGTTGATTCCCCCTCCTGTGTCCGGGGTCTCCCTGGCTAACCACAAAACCCACGCACAGGGCCGTGCACACTTTGCTGCTGGAATGAGGCAAGCAGTCCCCGTTGTGGCGATAGCCGCGAGCAGAACCCATTTGTGAAAATTCCTCATGGGATGCCAATTATCCGATACAAATGCGGTGTCTTTTAAGGGGCATGTAAGTGAAGGAAACTCAACTAAATAGATACCTGCAACTCAAGCTAGCTAGTAATTTCTTTCTGAGTACTTGAGGTGAAATCCCAAAACCCACCTTCTGATTTTATGCTGTACTTATATATATGTACATAAATGTGTATATATAGAAATGCTGAGTTCTTTTGAATTCTGAATGTAAATATTTCTTGTAAATTGGGACCCTACCCACTCTTTCTTTCTCTTTCCCCCCTCCCTTCGATCCTATTTATTCTTTTCTTGACTTCCCATACGGGGCATCTTATAATTTTTTTTATATATATATATAAAAGTATGAAAAACTTCTTAGTTGAATTTGTTCATATATTTTAGGATTCAGTTTTGCATCTTGACTATAGAATTCCTATGTCTGTTTTGTGTTAATATTTTTCAACATGCCTGATTGTGTTTTGCATTTTTATTACAAATTTTTACTGTGTGCAATGCATTGTATTGGGGGGGAATGTACTTGAGTGCAATTTCTGATACTGTCATTATATGACTAGTTATGCTTGTTTATGTTGCTCTTTGGAAGCTGTAGTGAGCCTGATGTTTTCACATAAAAAACATTTCTTCCCAAGACTTCTTTAAGCTCCTCTAACTTCTTCAGTGCATTTGGGATCAAACGTAGCTCTTCAGTAACCTGACTTGCTCCTACCCTTTCCATTCTTCAGGCCCGTACCAAATCCTTCATCTGTGTGGCTTTCCAGCTGAGAAGAAAATCTTGCAGATCTGAACCTTGGTTTGTGGCCCGCTGCCGCAGAGTTTCTGTGTTTTTGTTTTTGTTTCTTGAATTAAACAAGTCAGGCCTCTACCATTAACCTGCAAAAAATAATCAGGCAGTTATTTTGCAGGGAGCACAGGTAATCTGCCTCTGCTCTCACCTGTTGAGGATATTAAGAGCAGACGGGGAGACCGGCCCGGTACATGTGGGTCTCTGTTTGGACAGGTAACGCTGAAGAATGTTCTGTCAGGAACCGTTGTCCTCCCAGAGAGGGCAACACAGCTGCTGTGGGGGCTTCACGCGAGCCTTCAGCCCATAGGTTGATTCTGCGCTGAGGGTAAAGCAGGCAGTGAACTGTGGCCGGACTGGCCAGCAGGATCCCCTGAGCTGCTCGCACCACCAGTGGACTGCTACTGGGGCATTGACCTTGACTGGATGGGCCACAGATCCAGTGCCGAGCCAGATTAAGGCTCTCTTGACAGTTAGCGTTGCCAATAGGGAAGACCCTGGGCTGGCTCGTGAAAGTGGTGGGAATCATCAGCCGGGAGGCAACCATTGGGTTTTTATGTAAAGGTTTTGC